AAAAAAAAAAAAAAAAAAAGCAGTTTATCTGGAACATTGAGCCTTCAATCCCACGTGGCTGGAGTTAAAGTTCCGTTAACCAGCACCCAGAGAGTATACTTCTAGTTTGCTAGTGTCTACTCTTCAGAGTTGCTAGTTAGCATTTGAATTTGCAACTTTTGTTCTGTGGTCTTTGTGGTGCATTAGTACATGCAGAGGTGATATTTGCATGTTTGTGGAGCTTAAAAAGATAATAGAAAAGTACTATTTTTGACTTCCTATTCCTTCAGCAAGATGGCATTGCAATAAACACATGCATACGGTTGGGTATTTGTAGGAAGTGCTGTTGAAGAATCAGACTACATCTCGATGGGCCATTTCATTTATTAGGTAGTCATTTAATTTTTGTGTGAAGTTCTTGTTTATTGAACTTAATATTATGCCTTATTTGGAATCTGCAGTGAAGCTGCACAGTGTGGTTTCTTCTGGACATAACTTTATAAATTTTTGTACTAATTACAGGTTTGATCATTCCAGCAAATTGTGTGTCTCCACTTGTAAATCTCCTGTCAACTTCAGACCAGTCTCAACAGCTTGCGGTCCAACAGAAGCAGCTATGGCAACAGCATCACCCTCAGAGCATCACCAACTTGAGCAACGCGTAAAGAACAGACAGGTTTCAACATGGATGTATCTGAAATGCTGTTGAAGCATATCATTTGCATAAAAATCAGGGACAGTTTCCAAAGAATTATATATTTTTTTCAGTTGTGCTCTCTCTAGTTAGTTTTTTTGGGAGTAAAGACAAACCTGGAATAGATAGCAAAACTGAAAATCGGCAGTGCTGATGGTGGTACATATGTCTTTCCTTTTGCTTCTCCCCTGGTACTTCCCATCTGCTTTTACTTTGGGTAAGCAGAGGGGGATGTGTGCGTGCGTGTGTGTCAGTCTGTTTGTGAGTGTGTTAAAGGCTACAGACCACAGTTGGTTTAAAATGCTTGGAACTTCCCAAACTGGCTTTACTTTTATGTTTATACAGTGCTCAGGGTTAATGCAGTACATCCATGCCATTGCTGTGGGAGGTATCCCCGGATGCATGTGTTTTGAGTCTATAAATATAGAAAATATATATTGGTTTCTTTTTCCAACTTAATAGGTTTATTAAAGCATGAGATGAAAAGTTACATACCATGCATTCAGGTTATTTTCTAATTTTTGTTCTGACAGTGCATGTCTTTGAAAGCATGCGTCAACAAGATTAACACAGAAGTCGAGTAACAGAGAGAAACATTTGTTAGATGTACAGCATTGGTTATTGCATTTTTATAGTGTTTATACCTGGGTATTGCTTCTAACCCTGCAGACCCCTCCTGCCCCTTTTCCTCCCTGCCCTGTGTTTCTGGTCAAGGTAATGAGTACATACATTTTTCTGTGATAAAACTCTTAAAATTTAATTTTAATGTATTAATAGTATTCCTAATGTGTGCTGCAGAAATGGCTATAAGCCTCTTAAATTTACATTTTCAACTTAAAGGTAGTTTTAGAAGGAAGTACAAATTGGCTTTCATCCTGCAAACAATTGTTTTTTACTTCATTATCTTAATTTGCTTTGTCACTCTATAAAGGAAACCGTACTTGAGCTGTAGACAATGAGGAAACATTTGAGGCTTCTGCTGTATGTTTTTTTGTTACTGTTGTTATTGTTGTTACTCAGTAACTTGAATATTGTTTAATGTGTTGTAAGACATTGTAGAGTTTATCTCAAGCTGTTAAAAATGGTAATGTACAAATGTGAATAGACACTTATCTATATAATATGGGTAAGTTTTGTTTCGCCTATAATAGATGTTTATAAAAACAAGTGAGGGGACAGTTGGTCTTTTTATTTCCTTTTCCTTCTTTCTTTTGCTTGCACAGGTTGCACTATTGAAAAATCGAGATTGTATAAACCTGGTAAAAGCTGCAAGATGCCAAAATCTTGTAGATGTCAAATAAAAAGTTATTATACTAACAAGAAGTGGACTCTTGTTTAGGTCCTCACTGGTGACCTTCAATAGTAGTCTGTGACGGGGACTCTGCAGAACTTGTGTGTTGCCTCAGCATTCCAGTTAGCCTTATAGTTTGGCTTAAAACCTATTGCTAAAATTTGAGATGGCATTGAAGGAAAGGGTAAAATGATAGTACTTCCGAATGTGTTTTTCAAGTTGAATTGTTCGCTTTGTTAACTTTTTTAACTTCTTGCAGAATTGGGTGAGATGTGTGTTAGCTGACAGAAACCTGGCCGAAAGCTTAGGATGCTCATCCTCTGTGTCTCTAGCCTGAGTTTGGTTATGTCAAGCTTACCCTAAGTTTTCTTAGGATTTATTTATTCTTGGTGCCTACAAGAGTAAGTTGAAAGTACTTTCTGTTCTTCGGCACATTTTGCCCAGTGGATGCAACTTCTCTCCTCAGTCCAGCTCATGTATCTCAGGCAGTGATCCATTTTCAATCCCTTGTTAGGGCCACTAGACCTGGCAGGCAGCCAAGAGCAGCACTGTCCCCACCTTCAGCAGAACTTCTCAGCTCGTGTGTGTTTTTAAAGCAGTAGTCAGCTTCCATCAGCAATGCAAGTGTCCCCACTCAGTGGAGGTACAGTCGCTGGACCTGAGGAAGGGAAGAATTACAAATCCTCCTCCAGTGAGACAGAGTGGCAGGATTGGGAAGGATCTTCTCTTGCAGGCTGTTGGCCCAACTCTTCTTTCTGTGTTACCAGGGCATCTTAGTTTTTTATGGTGTTTTCAAAGCAGCATATGCGGATTCCTTAGCATGCAGCTAATTGACACCCCCCATGGCTCATAATGTAATAACATTTGCTCTGGACCAGCCATCTTTATACACAGGAGCATATGTATCTTAATGTTCTTGTAGAACAGCTTTGCCCCCCCGCCCAATTAAAACAAAAAGGCCTCTGAAAGCCCTCTCAAAGCAGACCTCAAAAAGGCAACCCATGTGAATGGATGGGAGCCGGGGTGCTACATGCCCAGGCTGGTCATGGTGTGTGCACTTCCCAGAGTTGCACCCACCCCTTCAGGTGGACATCCAACCTTTACACTGTGCTCTTACAAAAGTCAGCGAGTTCAGGTCAGCCACCCTATGAAGCTTCAGTATTCAAGGTCCTCTCCTATTAAAACCCAACTCTTGGCTGGATGTGGTGGCTCACACTTGTAGTCCCAGCACTTTGGGAGGCTGAGGCAGGCAGATCACTTGAGGCCAGGAGTTCGAGACCAGCCTGGCCAACATGGCGAGACCCCATCTGTACCAAAAAATTAGCCGCTAACTTCTGTAAAATACGTCCATTTATTCCAGGCTGTAAATGCCACACCTGAATCCAGAGGCCTTGTTTAACCTCATGTCCATTTTGCCTCTGCAATGCCTTTTTCTTCTTTTTAGCAATATGGCTCTGAGCACAAAGATTTGATTGGAAATCGTGTTGGTGTTTTCAGAGTTTACAGTGTCAGTTGTACTGAAAACCACTTCCAGAGTCTAAAGCAGCTCAGATGTTATTTTTGGGGGGAGTTAGTGTTCCCCTAATTTAGCAGCCTCTGCACCACAAGGTCTCTATCTGTAGTAACTGAGATTATCCAGATATACTATCAATGATACAAATCCGTAGAAGTATTATGCATTTCTTTAAACACATCTTGATTAAGAAGCAGATCTGTTAAGCAGTTTTCTTATTCTGCTGCTCAGTTGCAGTTAGACACTTCAGTATCTTCTTTTTACATGTGTATATAAATTAGCAGGAACCTGTATCCAAAGCAATGTAGTAGTGTGTGTGTATCTATGTATATTTATTCTAACTCAGCACTTCAGAAGCCTTTTTGAGTTACAACAATAAATCTTTTAGTTTGCTTCATCTGTAGAGGTAAAAGTTCTATATTACCAAGCTCCACAGGAATATAATATTTTAGAGGCACAATTTTCTGGCTGTAGCCCCTGGGGCATTCCTTTGCTGGCCTGCATGGGATGCTATTAGAACAACTGTTCGCAAGCAAGGGAAGAAAGGGTACCAGGACAGCGTTCACAGTTGTAGAATGGGAGCTTTCTGCCTTCTCCCCTCCACTTTCGTTTTAGCATGAAAGAAAGAAAAAAAAATAATAGATTCAAAATGATTGTTGCATCTCAATTCATGAAAGTAGGGGCAGAAGTTCCCTCTGGATCCTTTTCTTGACAAGCAGTCCAGAGGAAGGTCCTCATACACACGTACCTGTGTGGTATTTGGTAGTTTCTAAGATTGGTGCTACGTAAGTGTTGCTGTTAGGCTGGGATCCTGTTAATGAACGTTTGGTTAGTTCAGGCCTCCCAGTGGCAAAGGCAAGACACCGTGGTGATGGACATGTACTGACTCCCCTTCTATGTGACTTTGGTGGCCCTGGCTAACACCACACCCAGGCTTACTGCGCTCAGCCCACTTAGCTGCAGAAATGTAACAAGGCTTCCATGTCAGGGCTACAGCTGAGAGTAAAAACTGCAAAAAAAGGTCTCATTGGATGCCAATTGTCTGATACAAATGCAGTGTCTTTTAAGTGACAGAAACACACCTAAATACCTGCAACTCAAGCTCACTGGCATTTTTTTGTGTGTGAGTACTTGAGACAGAATCCAAAACCCACCCTCTAATTTTATGATGTAATTACATATATGTACATAAATGTATATATATAGAAATGTCGAGTTCTTCTGAATTCTGAATGTAAATAATTCTTGTAAAGTGGGACTCCGCCTACTTGTTTCTCCCTTTTCCCTCTTTCCTTCAGCTCTATTTATTCTTTTCTTGACTTTCCCATATGGGGCATCTTAGGACTTTTTTTCATTTAGAAAAGTATGGGAAACTTTTCATTTAGAAAAGTATTTGCTTCTGTATTTTAGAATTCAGTTTTGCATCTTTGCTGTAGAATTCCTGTCTGTTTTGTGTTAATGTTTTTTAATATGTCTGATTGTGTTTTACATTTTTATTACTATTTTTATTGTGTGCAATGCATTGTAATGGGGGTGTGCACTTGAGTGCTGTTTTTGATACTGTCATTGTATGGCTGGTCTTGCTCATTCATGTTGTTCTTTGGAAGCTGTAGTGAGCCTGATGTTTTCACATTTAAAAAAATGCTTCCTGAGACTTCTTTAAGCTCCTCTAATTTCTTCAGTGCATTTGGGATCAGACTTAGCTCTTAGATCAGCAAGCCTGACTTGCTCCTACTTTCGCAATTTTTCAGGCCTGTACCATATTTCTTATCTTTGGCTTCCCACCTGATAGGAAAATCTTGCAGATTTGAAACAGTGGTTTCTGGCCTGCTCTTGCTGCTGCAAATTCCCTGTTTATTTAAGAAGTTGGACCTATGCTTTTAACCTGTAAATAATGAGTAATTTACTTTGCAATGAACACAGGTAGTCTGCTGCTGTTACAACCTTTTGAGGATATTTATAGCAGGCAGAAGGCAGGCCTAGTGCGTTATTGGCAGGTGACTTTAGAGAATGTCCATTAAGGAACAACTGCCCTCCAAAAGAGAGCCAGGCAACTGCTGCGGAGCCTCCTAGGCTGACTCTGTTGGAGGGTTAGACAGGTGTGTGCCCACTGCCGTGCTGGCCCATGGGGTCCCTGAGCAGCTGTGCTCTCCACTCTTGTATTGGTGAGTGGATCTTGACTACATCAGTCAGAAGCCTAGAAGCGGAGCTAGATGGAGGCATTTTTAATAATTTGAGTTGGGAAGACCCAGATGGCTTATGAAAATAGTGTTGTCGAGCACCCGGGAGGCAGACATTGGGTAGTTGTTCACAATTTGGCACCCTGCAAGAAAATGTTCCTCTGTAACTTTCAGGGAGGATTGCTGTGAGCCTCTCTGGGGCCTTTCATTCATGTACAAGTTTCATTCATTACTATTCAACTTGGTAGACTTGGTGAAAATGTAAAAGTGTTCTGCATTTGGATCAGTCTTGGGAACTAAATTTGTCGTGAATTGGGGCCTGTCACAGATTGCCTCCAGTGTGAATCCCCTGCTCGGACCCTCTTTGCTCAGCCTCCCTCTGGAGCCCATTGGGAAGCCGCGCTGTGGTTGGCAGTGGGGCCATCTGGGCTGCAGAAATGTGGCAGGGCACAGTCCACCAAGACTGCCTCTCAGTGCAGGGTTGAGCAAGGGAAGAGGCAGGAAAAGTTGCTGCTTTCTGGTACTTACAATTCAGGCATTCTCCACAGTGAAGGCCACTCTGCAGGCCCCTGCTGAGAACCTGCCTGGCTTTCCATTACAGGCCCCTAACCAGTACCCTGCCCTTTTGGCCCGTTTGTGCCTGGGCAGATGTTTCTGGCCAGCAGACACTGAAGGCCTTTTTGCTATGACAGCATTTATGGCACTGAAGAAGATAAAGAAGCTTGAACCCTCTTCTGACTCCCGCTTGATGGGACAGAGAGAGCTGTTTTTCTACATAGCACATTGCAGTCTTACCGCTATCAGAAAAATATCCTGTTCATGGTTTATACTGATATTTGCAAACTACTGATAAGATTTTTCAATAACCACTTGTATCTTCCATCGTCCATGAGAGGTGGGAAGAGGTACGCTGTATCTCTGCAATAAAACTTTGACCAGGTTCTACCTCCTCTGAGCAAAGGATACTTTTCTATGTAGGCGTAGATTGTTCTCCTTTCCTAATCTGACATGGTGCATCTGGAGACATCTGATGGAATCCAAAGACAACTTGAAACAAAGGTGGATGTCAGCTCTCAGTTTGTTTTCATTTCATTCTCTTTTTTTAAAATCTTCCTTTTGCTATCGCTCCTGTTGTGGAGTATCTGTCAGCGTGGGAAGGGTACGCCCTGTTCCAGTGATACTGCACTGCTGCGTCCAGCTTTTCGTGGGAACACAGTACCAAGCATCTGGAATTGATTATCCCAAACATTTTTGATATGTACTTAAAAATTTGGCCTCATGCAATAAAAATGTACTGGCTGCATTTTAGCAAGGTTTACTCTTGCAAGTGAAAATGATCAACCGTGAAGCGTAACAAATTCTGTATTTAGTTTTTTTTGTTGTTGTGGTTTTTGTTTTGTTTTTTTGTTTTTGTAAGATTCTTAAATAAATTAAATAAGAGTCACTGGTTGTGCTTTCTTTGTTTGGATGCTGTCTTTGCGGATCTCATGGACATCTTCATAGTGTCTTTATAAAAGTGTTAAGTGCTATCACTGTGCCTTTGCAGATGGCACAGACACTGAGGGAGCCAGCCAGGGTGGGGTGGTACCCAGGCCAGGTGCAGTGTGTGGGCCCGGAGTGGGCTGCTGTCTCAGACTGCCGTGGAAGGCGGTGGAAGGGAGAAAGGGGTGGGATGCAAGTGGGTATCTGAGCAGCATTTACTGCATGGCTCGTCTGGGAGTTTCTCTGTGATGTTGGAAATTCTTTGGAGAGGCTAGGCCCTGTGACTCACTCCTGTAATCCCAGCACTTTGGGAGGCTGAGGCAGATGGATCAAGAGGTCAGGAGTTCAAGACCAGCCTGGCCAAGATGATGAAACCCCGTCTCTTCTAAAAACACAAAAATTAGCCAGGCGTGGTGGCATGCACCTGTAATCACAGCTACCCAGGAATGCTGAGAGGCAGGAGAATCACTTGAACCCAGGAGGTGGAGATTGCAGTGAGCTGAGATCACTACATTGCACTCTAGCCTGTGTTCTAGAGCAAGACTCCATCTCAGAAAAAGACTAAAAGAAATAGTAGGGAGAAGCATATTCAGTTTGTAGCCTAATATACATAAGGTATTCGAGCAAATTTGTAAATAGTGTTAATGTTTAGGGGGGATTTAACCTCCCAAATATATGAAATAATTGAGGATTGAGGACCAAGTGAAAAATGAGTGTTTAAACTACAATTTGACTAAATATTTCTGTGTTGAGTTTGAAAACTAAAAGAAACAGGTTTTTAAAGTTATAACCTTAATAAATTGGGTGTTGGCTAGGCGCAGTGGCTCACTCCTGTAATCCCAGCACTTTGGGAGGCCCAGGCAGGCAGATTACCTGAGGTCAGGAGTTAGGGACCAGCCTGGCCAACATGGTGAAACCCCACATCTACTAAAAATACAAGAAAGTGGGGC